CCCCCCCCCCCCCCCCTTTCAATTTCTGCAAAAAAAACTCCCCTCTTGAAATAAGACTTCACTAGTTGAATCATAGTTCTAAACCATACCAAATGGCACCATTCACCATCTAAAATACCAAAAATTTTCAGGACCCTTTAGCGGGCGGGGGAGGGGAGGTAGTCAATTCAGTTTATTTTCACCTAGCAGGCTGTCTCATTTCTTCTTCAATAATTTATTCATAACTTTTATTCCAATTTCGTGATATCATTTGATCATAATTTCTGCTTTTCTGTATTGCAACAAGTTTGACCAAATACATATATATATTCTTGTGAAATAAATCGATCTCTGTGCTGACAATAAAGAAGAAAGAATTCAGCTCGTAGGGTCCCTTTGAATATCGCTTAAAGCGGTCGGGAACGGTCCTGCACGCTAATGGCCCATAGACAGTCCTGCAGGGCCCCGTATCTCGAAAGCATCGCTTATTGAGAATAGCTATATCACATAGAGGCTACAATATATTATATGGGGCGAGTTATTGGATCGAGATGCTTGCGCTTGGTCGCAATGCGTGATACTATCGAGTTACGGTTTTACAAAAAATGTTGCCACTCGACTCATTGCAAATCGAAGTCACCTTTCCATTGGTCCAAATTTGTTCTCTTTCGTTTAGTTCTGTCGTAATCTTTCTTATTTTTATTTCTTCCCTCAATTGTTTTTCTTTTGTGAACTTCTCTATCGGACTTGATAGATTTTTTTCATTTTTGACAGCCCAAGACGAAAGCACGTGGGAAAAGAACTACATCTGACGCACGGCGTAAACTCGTACGTTCACTCATAATTTTGGGATTCAAATTTTTTGTAAAATTCTCCTTTAATTTGCCTCCGTTGCCTTTATTACTGTTGATAATAAGCACTTCATGTACCTGTAAGTCTATTTAATCAATATCATAACTTTTTATACATTCACATTTTTATTACTCTCAACCTACAAATTGCTACTCGTGGTATCTCCTCTACACAAATCAATGACGTAATGTTATCTGCTGTGCACTGAAGCTGGTTAAGGACAATGTGCCTCGTTTCAAATTGTCTTTCAACTTTATATCACACAGACGGAACTTTGAAAACGAGGCCACTGAGAGGGAGACTTGGTTACATTTCGATACGAGCTCTCGATTGCAAGCTATGGTTAGTTCTTTGCTTCTATGAAAGTGGGTGAAAACAGTGAGTTTATTTGATATTTTGCTGAAATCTCTTGTGAACATAGACAAAATAAAAGGTGAAAATAGGCTGTAAAAACAGCCAGCCCGTCGGGCGGGTAATCTGCAAATCTTACCCGCCCGGCCTGAAAGTTACCAGCCTCGGGCTGGCGGGCTGGCGGCCATTTCATACACTGATATAAGATAGGTTTCTCTCAGCTTTGATCACTGCTTACCGTAATTATTTTCAGGTTAAAAAAAGAATGCAAATATTTTTAAAAATAAAAATTCTTTTCAGAGCAATGGCTTTTTTTTTTTTTTTTTTTTCACAACAAAAATGGGAATTGTCAACCTTTTCCATGCAGTGAGTGCAATTATTCGACATAGTACAATTATTAGTTCTGAAATTTTTTTCCATTCAGTACAATTTTTCGTACAGTACAATTATTAATTTTGGAAGATTTTTCCACATGCTCCAATTATTTAGGACTTCAGAGTGCCTTTTACAGTGTTTTTAATCATATAAAAATATTGAAATATAATTTTCACTAAATAATTTACGGGACACATTTTTAAAAAAATGGCCAACTTTTTTTGACCAAGTGGGCCAAAATGGCCCAACCACACTTTGACCCAGGACGATCCCTGCACTTGGGTACTCATTAATCAGTAACTCAATAAGCAGAGATATGCCCATAGTAACTATTGAACCTGAATAGGAAGTCATACACTGGCAATCTGTGACCTTGAAATTGACACTTCATCATGAACTGAACTTTGCAAAATTTCTGTCCCTTATATCTCCAAAACTGGCATAGATATGCCCATAGATACTACTGAACTTGAATAAGAACTCATATATTGACAATCTTCTTGTCACCTTGAATTTTACCTTTGACTTCTCCCCATTATTTAGTTATATATATTTTTATTTTCAACAAAAAAATTGAGAACTCCTGTTTACTGCATTTTGTAGAGCTTGCCAAGAACAACACTGGAGGTGGTGTCCCTTTTTTTTTTCTTTATGAATGTGCTTACTCCAGCTGGGGGTACAATACCTGGAGGCAGTATTGTCTCTCTGATCCTCCAGTTAGATACGTAAAAGTGTTCTTTTGACATTTTCTGCATCTTAACAATATTGTTAGTTGATTTTATAAAAATGATTGTAAATCTGTTATCATGCACTTTAAAATAAAGTGTCAAAATGGAAATATCTCCTATCATTGCAGTTTGTCAGATTCAGTCCTTCACCATGTTCAGAATCTCAGAATGGAGCAAATTGGACATTGAAAATTGTTCTGTTGATATTTTTCCCATCTCAACAATTTTCTCAGTAGATCACATGAAATTCAGAAAATGATAGTAAATTGGTTATACTTTGTGTTTTGTAAAAAGAGTTTTGAAAATGGAAATAAACTCATTTCAGTACATTTTCAAGTTGTGACTATAGTAAATAATTAAAATTTGGTGGTGGTCATGCTGTTAGTCATTATGTGATATTGCTTCAGAAATAACCAATAAATAAATAAATAAATAAATAAATAACTTTGTGTAATGCCACTATAAACATTATGAAAAGAAAACTGTGTTAATTATTATGTTGTAACATACAAAAATGATTCTTAGGAATACAGCTCGAATTGCAAAACCAGCTCATTTGGATTATCATTTTTTTCCTTGAATTTATGCACTTTTTTTTAATTTTTATTTTTCTCATTCTGGCATTTTCAAAGTGTGAATTTGAACTTTCTTGGACCTGAAACTTTATACTAGTTACACATTGACATTTTACCTACATCCATATGTTACCTGTTGTGCATACTAAAATTTTGGTGTTGATTTGCTATTGGGCACAATTGTATTCATCAAAATAGCAGATGGTAGCCTGTATTATGCATCATTTACTGCTTTTTGTCTGTACATTTGGCAGGGTTGCTGCCTTGCTTATTAAGCTGATTATAAAAAAAGTTATGCTGAAACCTTATAAAATTTTACATTTGAAGTTATTGTGTAGTGTAATATATCTTTACCCACAATGGCATTAAGCAACAGATGTTAACTAATATAAAATCTTTTATCAAAGTAAGAAGTTTTAAAATTTTGAAAATTATCATACTGTCTTTAAATTATTTAATAGCCCCCACCTTTTTACAGATTTTGATGTTTACTACAAGTCATGTGATGACTTGAGTACAGAACTTGTCAATGTCTCCAATGTGTCAAGTTTAACAGGAGTTGACAAATGTCAGAGAGAAATCAGCATGTTGTATTTACTCCTTGCCATAGGAACTCTGCTCGTTGGGACATACTTGTATAATTTTACCCATACGTTAGTATAACAAAGTTGAGTTGTAAGCATCTACCACATCTGAATCATGCATATTATCACTCTTAGAATTCAGTTTGCTGTAAACTATAAATTCCCTTTATACCTTTGTTGTTATCTTAAACACCTAATCATAATTTCATTATTATCAAAACAGTATTTTTAAAACAGTTCTTTAATCTATTTAGATATTACAACCAATTTTGGATATTTGTAGTGCATAAATTCAATTTATTTTTATCCAGGCCATTCTTGAGTGAAAAGAATAGAGAGCTGCTTGCTGATTATGCCTTGCCCATATCATGTCTTCTCATGACCTTTGTAGGATCTTACATTTTCCAGGGAATAAAATGTAATAGTTATGCATTTTTTATAATCCTATTATAAGGGAGATAGTATTTAACCAAGTTTAGAAGTTTTATGTAAATTTGTGTAATATTACATTTATTATAATACCATTGACTACAATTCTTTATATGTTACCATTGGGCATTATCTGAGACAATTAAGCAGAGTCAATTTAAAATTTCCTCTTCTCTACTCCCCCCCCCCTCAACCCAAAGCTTAGTGCAAGTTTACAATAAATGGAATTATATTTTAATTTGAACTTTTCTGCTTTTGTTTTTTCCAGTGGGTATCTTTGAGTATAAGGATGAATTAAGTCTGGATGGAGCTCCGCTAAATGTTTTAACCATAGGAAACATGTTTCTTGCAATGGGATTGGCTCTTCCATTATCCCTGCTGTTTTTCATGGATCAGAGCCTGGCCAGTGCTGAAGTCAACAGTGCTCCCTACAAGTAAGTTTCCATAAGACTATCATAAGTGGTACACATAAAGTGGCTATCATTTATTGTANGTTCAATTCATGTCACCAAAATTATAGAACTGAAAACTTGAAAATTTCATCGCTTAAAAATTAATTAATATTTAAAATTGCATATATCTGATGAATTTTTCAAAATTACGTTTCCCCAACTCCTGGGCAAGACAAATTTTCAAAACTCCTACCTTTGGGCTTTTATCCTTATCGGCTTTTATTCTTGTTCCTCATATATTATGGGATATTTATCACTACTTCCAAAGTAACTTTCTGATGATAAATGATAATCTGTTTATAAGTGCATCTCGATTTCATTATATCAACTTACCCGAAAAGAAAGTTGAGGATTTTTTTTTTTTCGGTAAAAAACATGCCTCCAGAAATAGGAGAGGGGTCAAAATAAGCCTAATTGCAACTTCGGATAATTACGCACTTAAATAGCAATGTTTGTTGCATGCAGGGTTTTCCCAAGATTGGGTGTCAGGATTTTTAAAATTACCATCTGTAACTTCCTAAAAATTACAGGGAGTCCAACTTTTGTAAGTGCTGTGACCTGGGGGGTTAAAGATAAAATGAAAACATATAACCTGTTTAAAAGAATTCAAAAGGGGGGGGGTAAAAATAATCGGTAATGATCTCCCGCTGACCATCTTCCGCGAACGAGGTCCCTTGAAATACATGTATATGAAAATTGCATTCTATTCTTGCTTACTTTGTGAGCAATCTCCCGCTAAAGATATGAAAATGTTCTTCTTGTCTCGCTTGGATCACCGATGATCTTCTGCTGACAATCTTGTGTGAACCAAGTCCCTTGAACAAATATGAAAATTGCCTTCTCGTCTCGCTCTGATCGCAAACGATCTACTGACTATCTTACATGAACGATCTCCCGCTGAAAATATGAAAATTGCCTTCTCATCTTTCTCGGATCTTGAACGATCTCCCGCTGACGATCTTACGTGAACAAAGTTCCTTGAAACAAATATCAAAACAAATAAGACAGCAATCAATAAAATTGAAAACGATACAACTGACAAAGAGCCACGGCATGTGACTCCTATTTACCGACTTGAAAACGCACCTTGTGCAAACCTTGTGTGTATGAAGCAGGTAATAATAATGACACAAAAGACAAAAGGCCGACATTCCCGCAATTGAAAATGGGAATTCACATCTACACTATGATGTCACCATCTATACCGTAAGTAGCCACTTTTTCATAATTATCAAGAGGGCCCATTTTCCAGTTCGATGAAATTTTCAAAGTGAAGAAAATAACGTTGGCGGAAAATCCTCTTCCAACGAAATTTTAATTAGACCAATGAAGTTTTTACCGTATTGCTAGGTGAATAAATTATAAGCTTTAAGATGCAACTTTGAATCATGATGGCATTTATGTAAATTCTGAATTCGCTTTAATTGCAATGATTATTTGGTTTAGATGGACAAAATTGATGGTATGTCAAAGAGTATTAAAATTGTTGTTTTGCATTGTGAAGCAAAATTTCTGTATATATTCTGTATATGTATTCTGTATATATTTTGCACAATTTTGGTGACATTCCCCCATAACTTCCAAACCGTACTTTTGCTTTACTTTACTTTTATTTCCCATAAAATTAAATCACTTGCTATTTTTCAATGTACATGTTACCTGTAGTACACAATATAAGAAGGAAAGTGTGATTATGCTGTTTTAAAGCGTTATGTAACATTGCATCAAAATTGATACGCTTTTTTTTTGTTTGTAATGTCTGAATATTTGCAAGCTTTGCTGCCTTGTTACCTATGTGGTGTCTGTACATTTGCCAGCTCTGCTGTCTAGTTAAAGTTATGTATTTATTTATCATTATTATTCTTCTTATTATTATAGACTGGAAAAGGGACCAGCCTACCACTGGGATATGTTTGTTTTAGGTGTCATTAATGCTGTGCTCTCTGTATATGGTCTACCATGGGTCCATGGAGCGATTCCACAATCACAACTGCATGTTCGTGCTCTTGCAGATGTGGAATCAAGAGTTGACCAAGGGCACATCTCACAAATGTATGTAGTAAGTGAAAAAGTGGTGTCTGCATGCATGACTTGACACAGTGACTGTAGTCGTTGCTTAGTTTTTTATGTACAGACACAGATGTGTCTGTACATATAGCCATCATCTGCGTCTGTCGCCGCCGTCGCCGTGCACTTTTATCGATAACACGATAAGTGGAAAACCATTTTGCCCCATGATTTGAAACTTGCAGAACTGATGAATATTCATAATACGCAGGTCAAGTTCAAAAATCAGCATGTCGGGTCACTC